CATTGTTTCTGATGAGAGGTCTGCTGTTAGCCTGATGGGATATCCTTTGTAGGTAACTTGATGTTTTTCTCTTGCCAGTCTTAGTATCTTGTCTTTGTCTGTGGTTTTGGTCAATCTGGCTATAATGTCTTGGAAAAGATTTTCTTGGGTTGATTCTACTTGGGGTCCTTTGTATTTATTGGGACTGGATTTTTGAGTGTCTCTCTAGGTTTGGAAAATTTTCTTACAGGATTTCATGGAATAGATTATCAATGCCCTTATGAGTCTCTTCATCTTCTGGGATGCCAATGATCCGAATGTTTGGACATTTGATGGTACCTAGTACTTCTTGTATATTATTCTCAAATTTTGGGGCACTTTTCTCAGTGTTCATGGTGGATTTTTCTAGGCCAGCCATTTTCTCTTCTATGTCTGAGATTCTATTTTCTGTATGATCTAGTCTGCTTTTAATACTTTCAAGGGAGATTTTGACTTCCTGTATTATAGCCTTCGTCTCTAACAGTTCCATTTGATTCTTTTGTAAAGTGTGTAATTCCTCTTTCAGATCTTGGAAGAATTTCCTCACCTCCTGGAACTCATCAGCTCATTTCTCCTTTCTCTTCTGCAGTTCATTGTCTCTCTTGTTTTCCATCTCTGTTAACTCTGCCATTATGAATGCTCCAAATTCTTTATCAGACGTTTCCAAGATTTCCATTGAACTGTCTGTGGAAGAAGAGGAGTTATTCTTTTTCCTTGGAGGAGAGGTATTTTCTTGCTTTTCCATATTTCTTGTGGCCCTGCGGTGATTTCTAGTTATCTGATGGCTGGTGTGTTGTTTGCCGCACTTGAAGTTCAATCTGAGCATCCAAGAGCGTGCAGAAAAGGAAACAGAGAGAGAAACAACAGCAAGAAAAACACCCAAGAAACAGAGAAAAAGAAAAGAAAAGACCTAAAAAATATTTTTTTAAAAGCAAAAATTAGAAAACTGTGCAGTGTGCTTGCATGCTATGCAAAATTACTAGTTCTCAGGAACCATGAAGGTGTCTTCTGAAGTCCTGCTCCCTTGCCTCTCCCGGGTTGGGAGGGGGAGAGGGAATTATAAAGGGAAGGGGGGGGGGACTGAAAGCCAAGAAAATACTTTACCTTAAAAAATTTTATAAAGGAATAATTACAAAAAAAAAGAGAAGACAGAGACAGAGGTAGAGAGAGACAGAGACAGAGAGAGACCGCCGGCTTAAAAGGCTTCCTACCACTTAAGTTTGTGGGCTGGAGGCTGAATTATCAGTGGAAAATCTTCATTTCACTTATTCCTCTGAAGTCACTAGTTCTCAGGAGCCATGAAGGTGTTTTCTGAAGTCCTTCTCCCTTGCCTCTCCTCACAATTTATTTTTCGACAGGAGGGTTGTGAGTATATGTACATGTACAGACATAGGAGATGTATTAATAGGCATTTTAAGTTATAAATTTAAGAATAAGTACAACAGGTTATATATGATAAGTGACTCTAGTTCACAGTGCAAATATCTTTTATTTATTTATTTGTTTTTTGAAGAGAGGTTTTTGCTATAGGGCATATGTGCTCACTGGAAAGACAGAGACAGAGAGACAGAAGCGATAAACCACCCCCTAGGGAGGATGGCCATGTTGTAATGCCTTCTTCTCTATTCTCCTCTTGAGGTCTTGGGCATACACGTACACATAACAGTTTAAGCTGCTAGGGCTAGGATTCGAACCATGGTTGACAACGTGGGAGTCCAGTGACGTGACCATTAAGCTATCTGCTGGTCCCACGGTACAAATATATTATTTACAGAATTGCATGCCTTAAATATCAATGACTGGTGGTGAGAGATCAGATCACTTCTTTTTATTTTTAGAGGTTTTTGCACTCACTAGGGGGAGAGGGAGAGAGAGAGACAGAGACAGTGAGAGGAAAACTGAGCAATTGCTCCCATAGGGGTGGGAGGGACAGCCAGATTACAATTTCTTCTCCTCTATTCTCCCGGGATCTTGGACACACATGCACATGTGGCCAGCATGATTTTCAAGCTGCTGGGTTTGGGGCTTGAACTACTGTAGACCATGAGGAAGTCCAGCAACATAGTCACTACACCATCTGCTGGCCCCACCAGATTCCTTCTTGCTGCCAGCAAGAATGGTGAGCTCCTCTTTGCAGCTGCGCTAGGGATCAAGTGAATAATGCTGAGGTGGAAGGAGTCGTTCATCACTGCTTTGGTAGTGGAGGCTTCAGTTCCAGTGCGGATCTTGCTTTCCCTGAGGACAGGGGGCAAGACCTTGATTCTTACTGCATAGGTAGATTTCTTTCTATTACATTAGTGGGAGGCTTCATTGCTGGTTGGGATGGTGACAGGGAACCTTTTTGTTTCAGAAAGAGGGAAAGACTCATTACGTTAACTGCTGGTCCAAAGACTCATTCTAAATGTTGGAGCTGCAGTAGTGATTGGGGAGAGGTGCTTATAGGGTTCTGATTGGCGCCTGATTTATAATCAGATACTTTCTTCCCTAACCTTGAACCCAACATCCATCATGTCATCACTTGTCTTTGAAAACAGCATAAAGGTAAGGTTCTCTCTCTCTCTTTAAAAAAATATTTTAATTAATTAATTATTATTTTAATTTAACCATAGAGAGACACAGAGAGAGGGAAAGTAAGAAAGCAAGCTCCCGGGTTCAGGATTCAAACTGCAGTCAGTCATGTGGGAATCCAGTGCCTTAATCACCATTCTATCTGCCAGCCCCCAAAGTAAGGTTCTTGTAACATAATTTAATTCCTATCAGATTCTTCAAAGCTGATTTTCTTTCTCTGGAAGTATGCGCTACATACTCTATGGCTTTGAGTGTGGTCCTTAGTATCACTGGGGTCTTGTTAGAAATACAAGATTGAGAAAATACAGATTCTTGGCCCTCACTACAAACCTGCTAAATCTGAAACTCTGAGACCCCAGCAGTGTATGTCAACAATTGCTCCAGGCGATTCTGAATACATGCTCAATTTTGAGAATTTCTGCTCTAGTTTATATTTTTCCCTCATCCTTGAAATTGCTTGCTTCCTAAGGAGATAAAAATTGTTTAAGACATAACATTCACATTTAAGGAGCTTAAAACATGAATGGAGAGAAAAGCCACAAATATGTGGGGAACTAAGGCTGCTCCCTTCTATGGCATAGTGGTGATGTATTGCTTAAGCCAGATTCTACATGTGACAGCGGTTCTAGTCCCTGGCCCTGAAATGTGCCAAAATTTGATGGGCTGGAGGACTGGAGGAAGGGAACTCTTTGCCTGACAATTACGTATCATATAACTGTTTTATGTGTGTTCCATACCAGAGCCAGTCTTAATTGTGTTTGTATCTGCTCCTAATAATTATATAATTTTGCTAGGTTTGCATATACCTGTTTCCCAAACTTTATGGGTATATCTAAAAATATTGAAGTGTTTTCTGTTTTGTTTTTAAAAATAATTATTTAATTTTATTTATTCACTCATTTATTTTAATTTGAAGAGAGAGAGAGAGAGAGAGAGAGAGAGAGAGAAAGGGTGAAAGACAGAGAGAGGAAGTGAGAAAGCAAGCCACCAGGTCCAGGACTTGAACCATGATTAATCATGGGGGAGTATCCAGCACCTTAAGCACCATGCCACCTGCTGGTCCCCATTTTTTATTTTTTATTTTATTTTATTTTTTTTTTGCATCAGAGGGTATATGTGCTTGCCAGAGTGAAAGAAAAAGAGAGAAAGAGAGAGAAAACCCTCAAATGGGGTGTGGTCATGCCACAATCTCTTCTCCATTTCTCCATCCTGCAGGGATTCTGGGTACATATGCACATGCTCCCATAGTTTTTTCAAGCCTCTGTGGCTGGGATTTGAACCGTGTTGACCATGTGGGATCCAGCTCCCTTAGGCCACAGGGCCAGTCCCGTGGAGATTTTTAGTGGCAGCCCTAGGAAACTGATTCAAAGGAGAGAATAGTCTAGGCAAATATCAGGAGGTGAGGGAGCATGGAGTGTTTGAGTACCTGAACTAGATTTTGTCTAGGATGTGATGGGGAAGTTATAGAAATGAGGCTAGAGAGTTAAGCAAAGGATGTATCATGAAGGACCTTGAAAATGTCATGGAACTTTTTTTTTTTTTTTTTTTTTTTTAAGGTTTTCCTATAGGGTTGTGGACTTACTGGATCACTGGAGAGAGACAGAGAGAGAGGGAAAGTGAGAAATCATTCCCAGGGGGTGGATGGCCACATCACAATCCCCTCTCCTGTTCTCCATTCTCCTTTTGTTTCTCAAGCTGCCAAGTCTGGACTCGACCACACAGTTGGCCATGTGGGACCTACCCACTCAACCAGAACCAGTTGGTCCAATTTGGAACTTTTTCAGAGGGGACATGAAAGACCATTGTAGGGTTTTTAGCAGGTAAATGATATGATTAGACTCGTCTAGTAGTATAGACAATAAATATTTTCTAACTAAATGGTAGATCAATTAGAATGTGGCTGCTATGTAGAAAATGGATAGAGATGGTAAGAATAGAGACAGAGACACAGGTAGGATTCTGCAATAAGTGTAAGAAGATCTGATCTATATTAGGATAGTTCGTAGGGGAATACAGAACTGCATGGATTCAAGGCTTATTTAGGAAGTAAAATTGGATTTAGTGACTGCATGTGGAAACTGAGAGAACAGCAACAGCTGCTGCTGGGCAGCTGGTTAAACACATCTCAGACCTGTAGAGGCACTCACCGAAATTTGGAACCCATGTGGAAGAACTAGTAGGAGTGGGGGATGGTGGCAAAAAGATGCATTAAGTTTTGACATTTTGGGTTTGAAGTGACCATGAGACTTTGACTGGAGATGCCCAGTAGGTAGATGGAAACTCTTGAGGGGGATCTGGGCTGTAGTACAGTGTGATCTTCTCTATGTTTCATTCTCCTTGCTTATAAAATGGGGTGTTGGAACCTACCTCTAGAGTTGATTTGAGGATTTAATGAGATAATTCAGCAAATAATCACTGCATGTCTGATGTATACTCCACATTTTTCTAGAAACTGGGGATATAGCAGTGAAAGAAAAATCCCTGCTCTCATGGAGCTTATATTCTAGCAGGATAGATAAATAAATAAGTACATATGTAAGTAAATTATACACAGCAAGGATAAACTATTAAAAGGATAAATACTAGAAAGAATAAATAGTATGAAGAAAAATAAGCCAGAGAAGGGGAGATAGGGCATGGTAAAAGAGTTGCAGGTTTTTTTTTAACAGGTTTTTGCTATAGGGCGCGTGTGCTCGCCAGACAGACAGAGAGAGACAGAGAGATAGAAAGTGAGAAATCACCCCCCAGGGGGGATGGCCACGCTGCAATCCCTTCTCCTCCAGTCTCCTCTTGGGATCTTGGGCACGCACGCACACGCGCCCGGCATGAGTTTTAAGCCACCGGGTCCGGGATGCGAACCCCAGTCGACTCCGGGGGAGTCTAGCGACATAGCCATTACGCCAACTGCTGGTCCCCAGTTTTTTTTTTTTTTTTTAAGAAGACTATTTTTAAGAATTTTTTATTTTGTTTTGTTTTATTTTATTTATTTATTATTATTTTAATCTGATCAGAAAAACACAGAGAAAAAGAGAAAGTAAGAAAGCAAACCACCAGGTCTGGGACTTGAACTGTAGTTGGCCATGTGGGAGTCTAGCACCTCAATCACCATGCCTGCCAGCCCCTGCATTTTTTTTTTTCAGGTTTTTGCCATAGGGCATGTGTGTGCTTGCCAGAGAGACAGGGAGAGACACTGAGAGGGAAAGTGAGAAATCACCCCCCAGGGAGGATGGCCACTCCATAATCCCTTCTCTTCCATGCTCCTCCAGGGATTTTGGGAATGCACACAAGTGTCTTGTATCTCATGTTGGATATCCAAGCCCACCCAAATCATCCCTGGAAAAGTCTTATTCTGCTGGGATTCTCTGGTCTGTGTAGGAGAGGCTGAACTTTCTTGGCTGTCTTAGGCCCTCAAAGGGGCCCTGGGACGGTCCGAGGTTAGTGTGCAGTCTCAGGGCTCGGCAGCAATGTGGCACATGAGCAGCCCAGATAGCTTCTCCTTTGTTTTGGACCAGGCCCTGTGGAGTAGGGTGTTAGTGAGAGGTGATTTTTGTGACTTTTCCTTGCTACTTACCTTACTATTTCTATTATAACCTTTCTAGGTAAGGCTGAAGTCTCTACGAGCTTTGATAAGATTTCAAACAGTAGGATCCCTGAGTTTCCAGCAAAATCTGAATAGGTCTCCTTTTCTGGAACTACAGAGGAGGGAGAAAATTAAAAAACAGATTTCAAAATGCCTTCTGAACAAACCATCTATGAGAAAAAGCAATAAAGCAACAGGTTTTTTATTGACTACTTATAATAGTTTTATCAAGACAGGAATTAGAGATATGGTGAAGCAGTGAAAATCTGTCTATTAGGTAGAAAGGTTATTTTCATTATTCTTTTTTTTTTTTTTAAATTTGCCAGAGGGCACATATGCAAGAGACAGAAGGAGAGGGAGGAAGCAACTCCCACCGGGGTATAGTGAGGCTGCAGTCCCTTTTCTTTTCTTTCTCTATCCTGTCAGGATTTTGGTCACACATGTACATATGCCCAGTGTGTTTTTCAGGCTTCCAGTGCCAGAAATTGAACCACGGTAGGCCATATGGGATCCAGCTCCCTTATCCACCAGGCCATGAGGCCAGCCCTAGAAAGGTTATTTTGATTACTGAACAGATATAATAATAATAATAGAATATAAAAATTATTTTTGATAACATCTAATTATAGAAATTTTTTAAATATAGATTTTGCTATCAGGCATGTGCTTTGCCAGTGAGACAGAGAGAGAGAAAGTGAGAAATCATCCCCCACTAGGGCTTTTCATGCTGCAACTCCTTCTCCTCCATTCTCCTTTAAGAATTTTGGGCATGTACCCATGCATGCTTGGCATGAGTTTCAAGCCACCAGGTCCAGGACTTGAACTGTAGTCAGACATGTGGAAGTCTGGAACCTTAACCATTACACCACCTGCTGGCTCTTCTTCTTTTTTTTTTTTTTTTTTTTTAGAGGGAGATTTTTGCTATGAGGTGCATGCACTTACCAGAGAGAAACAGAGAAACAGAAAGTAAGAAATCACCCTCCCCTCCCCCCAGGGGGATAGCAAAGCCACAATCCCTTCTCTTCCATTCTCCTTTTGGGATCCTGGACATGAATGCACATGTGCCCAGTGTGAGTTTTAAGCTGCTGGGCCTGGGACTTGAACCACGGTTGGCTATGTGGGAATCCAGCATGGCAACCTTTATGCCATCTGCTGGTCCCCCTACATTTTTTTAAAAAAAGTTTTTCCCATAGGGCACATGCCCCTGCCAGAGAGAGAGAAAGGGAAAGTGAGAAATCAGCCCCTGGAGGGAATGACTACATTGCAATCTCTTTTCCTCCATTCTTTCAGGATTTGGGGCATGCAAATGCACCCAGTGTGAGTTTCAAGCTGTTGGGTCTGGAACTTGAACCGTGGTTGACTATGTGGGAGTCCAGCACGTCAAACACCATGCCACCCACTGGCCCCAATATAGTAATACTGTCAACATAAACTTGAATTATATGTAAAGGATTATCATCTTATTTTCTAGGTAGAGGAATTGTTAATAAACATGTTAATAAACAGGAAAGTCTCCACTACTACAGCAGCACTTGTAAGCAGTAACCACTTGATCCTAAGGACGGTTCATAGCTTATGAATAGGTATTTTTTCAAAATGATACAGTATTTGGAAGCTGAAATGTATTTATCTTTGCAAATGATATGAATAGCAGTTTCTTTTTCCAAGGCAGCATGTTAAACTCATAAACAAACTAAGAAAGTACTAATGCAAATATTTCAAATGCTCTATACTTATGAGTGGGTCTTCTAAAAGTTCACAGACCAGCAGATGGCATAATGGTTATGTTGCTGGATTCCTGTGTAGCTGACTGCGGTTTGAGTCCTGGACCTGGTGGCTTAAAATTCATGCTGAGTGCATGTGCATGCATGCCAAAAATCCTGAGAGAATGGAGGAAAGGGGATTGCAGCGTGGCCATCCCCGCTGGGGGGTGATTTCTCGCTTTCTAACTCTCTGTCTCTCTGTGAGCATACACACCCTATAGCAAAAAGATCTCCAAAAAAGTTGGTGAAAAATGCCTATTATAAAGAAGTGTACATGCATTATAAAACTGTTTTGCACAAAAATAAACTGGTAATTCCACTTTCCAGGAATTTATCAAGTCCCATCATGCATATTATTCATGACTTTGTATATGAACATGTTCTCTGTCCTCCAGAATCTCCAGCCCTAGTGTTGAGAGTAGAAGTTTCATTAGTTTAAGAAAGGGATTTTTTTTGGGGGGGAACAGTCAAGTATCCATATCTCAAATTTGCATGAGAGAGAGCATTTTTGTCTTTTCCTTTCTTTCTTTCTTTCTTTTTTTTTTTTTTTTTAATTTTCCAGAGGGTGCATGCACTCTTCAGAGACCAACACATAGAGAGAAAATAAGAAAGCACTCCTCAGGGGGCATGGTCATAATCCCTTCTCCTCCATCTCTCCCTCCTTTTGGGATTGTGGGCACACACGCACATGAGTGTGGAGTGTTTTTCAAGCTGGGTCTGGGACTTGTAGCACGTGATTACCATGTAGGATCCACCTGCATCAACCACCATGCTATCAGCTGGCCAACATTTTTCTTTTTCTTTAAAAAAAAATTTTAGAATTATTTTGTTTAACTTTATTAATTATTATTATTATTTTAATATTTCCAGAGAGAGAGATGGAGAGAGAGAGGGAAAGCAAGAAAGCAAGCCTCCAGGTCTGGAACTTGAACCATGGTTGGCCATGTGGGAGTCCAGTGCCCCTAACCACTATGCCATCTGCCCCATTTTTTCTTTTAGAAAAAAATTTTTTTTTTTTTTTTTTTTTTTTTTGAGATTTTTGCTATAGGGCATGTGCTTGCCAGAAAGATAGAGATAGAAAGAAAGTGAGCAATCATCCTCTAGAGGGGATGTCCATGTCACAATCCCCTCTCCTCCATTCTCCTTTTGGAATTTGGCATGTATGCACACGTATCCCATGTGATTTTCAAGCCGCCAGGTCCCGAACTCGAATCACAGTTGACCATGTGAGAGTCCAGCGCTTTAACCACTATACCACCTGCTGTCCCCTTTTTGTTGTTTGTTTTGGTTTTTGTTTCCTGTCAAAGGAATGCCTCCTAAAGTAGTGGATGCACTTGGTAAATAATTTAAGCTATAAAAGGAGACCAAGTTGTTCTACCTAAGTTCAGCCCCAAGTGTTCTCACTGGACAGCAAAGGAGTCTTTGTGGGAGGTTTTTAGAGCATGCCAGTGCCTGCTCAATGTATTTAAGTTAAAATTCTGAAACTACATCAATTTGCTTAGTAAATATTATTTTGAAGAAGGAGGAGAAAAGTAAGTCATATCCCAGACGATACCTTCCTGACCTGTCTTCTGATCAGAGGCTTAAGTGAATATTTACTCTGTAGTGTATTGTAGTTACCCAGTTTCCATCTAGTCAGTAATCTCTACTCACCCACAGCCTTGAAGAAGCGGTTCTTATCTGTCAGCACATTTATGAAGTCCGAGAAGTTCACCTTCCCATCTCCTGAAACAGAAATCTAAGGCTCAGGACAAGGATAAGATATATTTTAATGATCAGGCTATATATTAAATATAAAAATTAAAATACCCTGGAGCATTTAATAGTAAACATCAGAGCATTTTAGGTCTTAGCACCATTACACTAGTCACACAGGATGATGGTGGAGGTAACCATCATCCAGGAGCTCCTGCCACTGCAGTCCTGTTTGCCCACTCCTTCCCCAGAGCCTCACCATTTTTCCAAGGAATCCACCTGGCCTTCCACTCCATACCAACCCTCATGATTTGTACTGTAACATCTCCAACCTGTATCCCATTTCCTCGAAAGTGAAAGGACGGTGAGTGCTACTAGAAGGATGTGGTGTGCCTTTCTATGAAAGAACAGACAAATGGGGCAGAGTGAGTGGAAACAAGGGACAACTTCATTAACTGGTGACAATGGGTCACACAAGGAACATACGGTGACTGATGGAGCGCTACCAGTTGGGCGGGGAGAGCTGAGAGGAGATGATGTCCGAATACATTTCCACACACATCCCAGCTTGGCCTACTAATCACCAGGTCGGTAGAGCCAATAAAAACACTGTCCGTATGCTTCAAAAATGCCAATGAAAGTGCTGTGGCTTTAAAAAAAATGCAATATTGGTCGTCTCTAAGGGTGCAAGGAAGATCTGTATTATCGTTCAAACAGAAACAAAGGGCTTGGATATCTCAGTAACATGTCTTTTTTGAAATTACTAATGTCTTTGTATCTGTCATTTCAAGGCACCCTCCAATATGTCTATCTGACCGGTAACCTAAATTGGATTTTGAATTGAGACAGTCACTCAGTTTCCATGCAGGAGTTTTCAAAGTATGGTCCATTTTATAGCATGAATTTGACTTTATAACTTGTACACATACTTTTACTGTATCCTGAAAGGAAAACACACACACAAGACACAGGGACACACAGACACACACATGCATACACACACTCACACACACTTTTGGGGAAAAATGAGGTTTCTCATGTTTATATGGTCACTGAGATAAAATATATATTCACAAAAATATCTTATGGAAAAATAATGATAAGCCAAAGTACTCACGATCAATATCAGCACATTTTAATTCATTATAGACATCATGCTTGGTTAGATTCATTCCCAACTTAGCTAAAGTGCACATCATTCCATGTAAATCTATACAGCCAGTTTTATCTCTGTTGAAGAAGTTGTAGGCATATTTGAAGGCTGGAGAAATGGAATTACATTAGTCAGAACAGTTATTCAAGGAGAAATATGTATGTGAATGGAACTAAGACAGACAATACAAAATAAGACAAAAATGACTGGTGGAAAGCCAGATGTGATAGGTGAGATGACCTTCCCATGCTCTAATCCCCAGAACCTATGAATATGTTGCCTTACATGGCAAAAGGAACTTTGCAGATATATTTAAGATAGATTATCTTGGATTTCTGAGTGGGACCTGTCTAATTAAATATCCCTTACAGAGCTAAGAACAAGAGAAACGTGGCAGAAGTCAGGAATTCAGAGCATGAGAAGGACTTGACCCACCACTGCTGATCTGAAGATGGATGGGGCAATGACGTGGAGTGCTGGCAGCCCCTGACAACTGAGAGAGGCTCTTGGCTGACAGACAGCAAAGAAACTGACATCAGCCCTGTGACCACAAGGAACTGAATTCCAACCAAAATCTGAATGAGATTGAAAGCCTAGTCTCCTCTACAGGCTCATGTTTGTGCGTACCCCAAATCCCAAGAAGAGAATGGAGGAGAAAGGATTGTGACATGGCCAGCCCCCTGAGGGGTGATTTCTTCCTTTCTGTCTCTCTCTGTTTCTCCGGCAAGTGTGCATGCCCTATATAGCAAAACTTTCTCTCTCTAAAAACAAAAAACCAAAAAACCAAAAATAAACCAAACCAAGGGACCAGCATTAGTGTAATGGCTGTGTTGCTGAACTCCTATGTAGTCTACCGCGGTTCCAGTCCCGGACCCAGTGGCTTAAAGTCACGCTGGGCGCATGTGCGTGCGTGCCCAAGATCCCGAGAAGAGAAAGGAGGAGAAGGGATTGCGGCGTGGCCATCCCTCCTGGGGGGCGATTTCTCGCTTTCTGTCTCTCTGTCTCTCTCTGTCTCTCTCTGTCTGTCTGGCGAGCGCACGCGCCCTATAGCAAAAACCTCTCTAAAAAAAATAAATAAATAAACCAAACCAAAACAGTATGTATTAAGGCACTTTAGAAACTTTGAAGTTCTTTGTTTTGTTTAATTTGTTAGAGGGTATATGCATTTGCCAGAGAGAGAGAGAAAGTGAAAGAGCAACCCCCATAGAGGATGGTCAGGCTACAATCCCTTCTCCTCCTCCATTTCTCCTTTCGTGATTTTGGGCACGTATGCACACATGCCCCATGTGTTTTTGAAGCTGCAGAGTCTGGGACTCAAACCACACAGTTGGCCATGTGGGATTCAGTCACCTTAACCACCAAGCAAGTAGCTGGCCTGAAGCCGTAAAGTTTTACATAAACTATAAGGCATTTAGTTTAAACCATAAATTATAAGGCATTTCTTTCAGTTTTTATTTATTTATTTATTTATTTATTTATTTATTTATTTATTTTTTATCATCATATCTTCTTCATATTACATTGGATTACATATAACTTTACTGTGTATTACATTGTTTCTTCAAAAGGGAATGCCATGCACGTCAGTCAGTACAGAGACATTAATCTCCCCACTTCAACATTCCATATCTTTTCTGTTTTCCCCAATCATTATCTTTATTATTCTAATTATTTTTATAAAACAGTCAATTGCTATTTCTCGTTTTGCTTGT